TGGCAATGGGTAAAGTTGCCAAAGGCAAGGGGAAATCCCGCGTCAAGAAACGAAACGCGTCAACCGAAGGAGAATCAATCGAATCGAGCGAGAACATGAATCCTTATTTACAGGGGGAGGAAGGTTTAGAACGCTCAGAACTCTTTTTGCAGCAGAGTGGCCACGGCCTGTTAGTCGAAGTCCGAGGAACACTCAGGGTTTTTACAACGGCAAATCCATTCGGCTCGTAGTCCAGTCCTGAAACATTACACAACTGAAATCAAAATTCACACTTACATCGGTCGGTCACCTAACGTTCATACCAGACGAAATTCTCGTACTGTTGATATCAACGATGTCTTATTTGTGGCGACTTGAAAGAAATTTATTAAAACTAAAGCTTAAACCGACTATTTTAAAAAGGTTTTTTTTATCATCTGCATCTAAAGTTATCTTCTTGAAACACTGTTATAATACCATGTCAGAGGAAAAGCGAAAATCATGTTTCCTTATAGCTACACTATCACATCGCATCACAGGTGTGATCTCAATTTTGGGTTCAACAAAATTGGGAAAATTCCTGCTATCGAGCTAAAACAGCAAACTAATTGGGAGCCACTTGTTAATTACGTTAAAATCGAGAGAACAAGTATTTTATGTTGGTTTTACTGGTTTATCAAATCCTTGCAACTTACCTTGTCTGGGTTGCAGGCTAACGTAGTGTTTCTCGTGGATGTGTCCCAAAACAAGCAGGCTGGTGCTGCCAACAAGATGATCTGGATTGATGACTAAATCACAGCCAAGACTGCTGATTACACGAATAGGAGTTTTATAGCAGCTTGCTGCGGCACGAAGAATCAAGTGGTCGCCCCATGTGCCATCCTTTTCCATGTTTCTCAAGTAATCGGCCCAAGATGGGTATCCATGGACAAAGTTGAACAAATCTGTTCCATCCGTCTTTGAGAGAAAAAACAATTTAAACTTAATTGAATGGACTAAAACTATCTGACACGATATGACAGTCGTCTTGGCTTATACCAAAATAAACGTTTGGTTGTCAATAATTCACGTTTTTACACTGAATGGGTATTCAAAACCTAGCCCGGTTGTCGCTAGATTTATGGAATTATGTTGACATATAGTTTACTAAATAAGGTAACATCCCTCGATTGAGCCAGGGACACAAAGTTCCTACTGATACCAAAGCTTTTGCTGGTTATTTAGCCCGGCAATAACTATGATTACGTACTAGAGAAAAGACTATAATATTTAAATTCCATTATCAGTTACTCGAAGAGATTTCAGAGCCCTGTTTTCCTAATATTATACAAAGCACACCGTCTTTCGTTCGCATCAGAAGACACTTGTGGACCTCTGACTTACCAGTTTGGGCGAGTTCCTGAGGAATCCGACTAACGTTTCCCGCAGTTCTACTTCCGAAATTTGGATTCCTTTAACGCTTTGCAGTTGCTCTGACAGTGCGTGGAACATACAGTTTCCAGATCCTGGGTTGTCACAAGTGCTGAATCCCTTGTCCGAAGCAATCTTTTGTAGATTCTCTGTCGCGTCAGTTTTTTCGTTGAACTCGTTTGGATCACTCTCCATTTGCTGCAGATCACGAATACTTTTCATAGCTGGAAGCAGTCAAAATTACTGCCGTTATAATAATCGTCTATCGAATTGGTTAGCTAAGTAAAAGACCACGCGTTCCTCTGGTTAATACATGATGTTATATATTGCTGCAAGTCATACATACATACAAATACTTTTTCAAGACTAAACGTTGAACTAAAACTAAGAAAGAATAGGAATTGAACGAAATAACAACAAATTGGGGTTTGGAATTTAAGAATCAACAGCCTTAATCAGGCAATTACTGACTTGGGATTTGGTTTTGGGTTTCCTAGGTTTTCAGATTGGCTGAGTAGTCTAATTGGTAAGTACATTGGTTTGGTTTTCGTTTTACGACTGTCAATTGAAAACCGCTCAAACCTATTGGACTCACTATTTGATCCTAACTCTTCTGGAGGTCTCGTGTACCACTAAGCACCAAGAAACTGTGTGAAGTTCATCGTCTTCACAATTTTCCATATTAGTATTAATGAAGAGTGTGGAAGTGTCCGTATTATAGAGGTAAATGAACTGTCTAAGAATGTATGAATTCTGGATTTTTGAGATCAAATTAACTGTCCGTGATATAGATGTTCCCGTAAGAAGACGTTCGAGACAGTGTATTAAAATTTTCGTATACTTACAACTTCCTGCAAAGTTACATAACATGATTTATTTATAAATCTGTTATAGTTCTGAGCTGCTATTTACCTGCATGGTCCTCGCCAAGTATCTTCTTGGTACCCTGGGTACTAGAAGTAGACGAAACTGTAGGAGATTTGTGTTTTCGGCTTTGAGTTGGACCGTTAACAAAATTGGTTTGCCCTGCACATAGAAAGGCATTTTAAATTAAACAAAAGATTAGCCACAAAGTTTGCATTTTTGAAAATCATCAGTTCTTCCTGGTATGCCGATTAACACTAATACAGTATTAAAAGTTAAATGAACATGCAAAAGTGCTTCTCACTACTGTTTTTTTTTAGAGGTGAAGTCCAAAAATGTAAACATAACGGCTTCACTGAAACATTACACAACTGAAATCAAAATTCACACTTACATCGGTCAGTCACCCAACGTTCATACCAGAAGAAATACTTATACTGCTGATATCAACGATGTCTTATTTGTGGCGACTTGAAAGAAATTTATTAAAACTAACGCTTAAACCGACTATTTTAAAAAAAATTCTTTTATCATCTGCATCTAAAGTTATCTTCTTGAAACCTTCCTATAATAACATGTCAAAGGAAAACTGAAAATCATGTTTCTTTATAGCTACACTATCACACCACGGGTGTGATCTGAATTTCGGGTTCAACAAAATTGGGAAAATTCCTGCTATTGAGCTAAAACAGCAAACTAATTGGGAGCCACTTGTTAATTACGTTAAAATCGAGAGAACAAATTTTTTGTTGGTTTTACTGGCTCATCAAATCCTTGCAACTTACCTTGTGTTGGTTGCAGACTAACGTAGTGTTTCTCGTGGATGTGTCCCAAAACAAGCAGGCTGGTGTTGCCAACAAGATGATCTGGATTGATGACTAAATCACAGTCAAGACTGCTGATTACACGAATAGGAGTTCTGAAGCAGCTTGATGCGGCACGGAGAACCAAGTGGTCGCCCCATGTGCCATCCTTTTCCATGCTTCTGAAGTAGTCAGCCCAAGATGGGTACCCATAGACAAAGTTGAACAAATCTGTTCCATCGGTCTTTGAGAGCGGAAAAAGTTTAAAGTTAATTGAATGGACTAAAAGTAGCTGACACGATATGACAGTCGTACTGGCCTATACCAAAGTAAACGGCGATTGGTTTTCAATATTCTTAACAATAATTCACGTTTTTACACTGAATGGGTAATCAAAACCTAACCAGGTTGTTACTAGATTTATGGAATTATGTTGACACATAGTTTATTTAAAAAGGTAACATCCCTCGATTGGGCCAGGGACACAAAGTTCCTAGTGATACCAAATCTTTTGCTGGTTATTTTGCCCGGCAATAACCATGATTACGTGCTCGAGAAAGGACTATAATATTCAGATTCCATCATCAGTTTCTCGAAGAAATTTCAGAGCCCTGTTTTCCTAGTATTATACAAAGCACAGTTTCATTCACATCGGAAGACCGCTGACTTACCAGTTTGGGGGAGTTCCTGAGGAATTCGACTAACTTTTTCCGCAGTTCAGTCACCGAAATTTCGATTCCGTTCACGCTTTGAAGTTGCTCTGACAGTGCGTAGAACATACAGTTTCCAGATCCTGGGTTGTCACAAATGCTGAATCCCTTGTCTGAAGCAATCTTTTGCAGATTCTC